TTGATCCTTCCCAAAAATGTGGAATTGCGAAATTCAAAATATTTTTCTTACATTGATTGCAAGTCAGTGTCAGGTTGTATGTTAAAATCTATCAGAGATAATAATAATTATATTGATGATGCATAAGATTATGATTTTAATGTACACAAGATTCGTAATTTGTAACTGCGTGAATCATTTTTGATCAACATTATGTACATACCCTGACACTGACTTGCAAACAATGTAGTAAAGAAAATTTGAACATTGAAAATTTCGCTCCTACCTCAACGCATTCACCTTTCATCCTTTTCAAATTCTGTCTACATTTCCAAGTAACATCTGCCGATCTATGTTTTTCTTAAAATAAATGGGTAAAATATTTTGGCTAACATGGCATCCCTAAATTCACTCACACAATAGACAAACGCCAAAATTTTGCGTCACAGTTTTGTTGTAGCGCGAGTTCCGTCCGCCTTTTTTTATAGGTCCATGATTAGAGTTAAGTGTGTAATTAAAGTACAGTAGAACGCCGATTATCCGAACGCCGATTAACCGTATTGTTGTTATGGGGTTTAATTAATAAAGCGCCATGATTATCTTCAACTTGTTTGTTTATTGCAATCTTACACATGCAAAATATAATTATTACAACGGAGCACATCAAAACAAAACTTTTCAGTCGGCCATTTTTCCACCGAGAGAGACCATAGACTTAGAGCTAGCTTTTTTAAACTCTAACCATAAATAAATGTTTAGTGTTGTCATTACTCAACAAACCGAATCGCCAATTATCCGAATCGGTCCTAAGCGTAATATAAAAAATTGAAACCAAGTAATTTTTGTTTTGTTTTATTGTAACAAGTTGGATGGAACTCACAGGAGTCTAGACATTTTTCAACTGAGCGTTATTGTAGAACTCTAAACACAGTTAATAAAGTTTATTCTAATTTCTATGTGTGTCAGTTCGTTTTTAACTCGTTTTTTCTTAATTACTAGTCTATGTCCGATTATTCGAATTTTCGATTATCCGAATCTACCCCAGNTTCTTCTATATGACAAGGGCCCCCTTGATCCGTAAGTACCCAGGGCCCCTAGTAGGTTAAAGACGGCCCTGTGTTTACATAACTTTTTTGTCCTAAATTAAATTGGAGAAGTTATACATAAGCAAAAAGGGTTTTTTTTTGCTTATAACTTCTTCAATCTTTAATTTAAGGCAAAAAGTTATATTAACATATTTGTAGGCAAAGCAATTTTCTACAAATTATGACTGTACAATTTTTTTGTACGACGCATAGTTTCCGAGACATGCACGCGGGCAACCGTAGCACAGGGGCCACGCTGCGCGGGCCCCCTGTGCTACGGTTGCCGCATGCCCCGCAACCCAGGCCGTGGGGGGCCCGCGCAGGCTGGGGCCCGGCTGGCAAATGCCACCCCGACTATATGGCCAGTCCGACGCTGAAACGCATTGACTTTTCGTACTCGTAACACCCGAAACAGAACCATTGTAACACCCGAAACAAAGAAAAAAATTATAAAAAAAATAGTAAAACGTTTTATGTAACAGTGATTGTATGTTACATGGTTTGCAAATTTCATACTTTCATAGTCCTGTAAGTTTTAGGTATGATTCCTTAAGAAAATTCGCTAAATTTCGAGTAAATGCAGCAACAGTCAGAACATAGAGGCAAAATCTCGTAACGCCCGAAACGCACACTTTTCGACTCATATTTTCGTTATCCTATATTCTAAGCTGCACAAACTTTATTATTTAGATAAAACAACTAAAAACGGACAGATTAAGGCACTAATATTATTAAAATACTATTTCAAAATACAAGAAATTGTTGAATATGTGTGTACGAACGTAACACCCGAAACGATGGAATGACCCGGCGCATAAAGTAACTATTTATTTATGTATCATCATCATCATCATTTCAGCCATAGGACGTCCACTGCTGAACATAGGCCTCACCCAATGGCTTCCACATCGCACGGTTGGTAGCGGCCTGCATAATTAACAAACAAAACTAAGTATATTGCAAAACTGACATTGAGAAGGCCAAGAATCACCCAAATAAGGTCAACCCTGTTTTCTATTGTCATTGTTATCGTGCGAAATGTGAAAATCTCATTGTTATTTTGGCCTGCAGTCGCCGATCGATAGTTGAAGGTCTTTGTGTCAAAGTCAATCATCACTGTCTGCACATACTACAGCGAGTGAAGTAGACTCAGGCCTGTATGAAACGACGCTCACAACTTGATTCAATCTGAAGCTCTATTTAAAAGACCTCGATTTAATCTCAATTATTAAATGTGATTTGTTTGGATCATGGAAAGCGTCTCATGATAGCTCATCATAGAAGGATCATAGAAAAAGAGCTTAGGGCCTGTGCACACTCCGTTTTTTAAACGCGCGACCAGCGCGCTTTTTTCCTACAAACGTCTATAGATTGGGTCCTACTTTCGGGTATCACTAAAACGCTTACATATTGTGTGCATAGACCCTTATGTCAGTTACAGCCTCATCCACTACATAATTTTAAGCCTAGGCCCAGACCACTGACTTTTTGGCCCGATTCTAATTATATGAAGAAGACTTTATGGCCGATACCAAATCGTAAATCGGTGTAACGTGCGCACTTTCCATACTGATTAACAGCCCGACCAAACTATCGGCCAGCCAAAAGTCGGTGGTCTGCGCCTAGGCTAACGGCTAAATCCTCTGAATTTGTTGAGATTGCTCTATTCGGCGACCGTGAATGGGTGACGCACCTGTGGCTGTCACTCCGCACGTGTGGCACGTGAACCTACTGACCTATCTACATTAATGGCATCCACGTTTTTTCATGGTCGGCAAAGCACATGCAAACAAAAGTGCATTGTGTGCAGTACGGATAAAAGAATAGAACTTGTCTTGAATACTATAAATTACTTGTTTTTTAAACGCGGGAATAAAATGTTGCCTTTTTTTAAACTAGCTAAATTTTGTTGATGACTTTATTTACGTCGTGGACACTGGACATGCGTGACGATTTAGCGTTCTTTCGTTTCCTAACATGGCAAAACCAAGAATAACAATGGTGATTCGTCAAAGGTACACTAGCAATTTTTTGGAGGTGTAGTATACAAAAATAGCAGATGCGACGATTTGCGATGTTATTGTTGGCTACTTGTGTACAAATAAGAAGCTACAATAAATAAGTTATGCATGATGGATGACATCATTAAGGCGAAATAAATATTAATGGCGAAATAATTTGCGATCCTCATTGTGGATAAAACACCAAATCTATTTAATAGATCTCAGCATTAGCTACTAAGTCGCGTTTCTGTAATTAAAAACTATTGTTCACAAAAAACTCCTAACATCGAAATCACGATGCACAGCTTACCATCCATTCTGATTTTTACTTTTGCACATAGAAATAATAATAGTGGTGGACTTAATGCCGGGTGGCATTCTCTACCAATCAAACACAGGTAAAAAAAATTATGGGTAAGTGGCTAGCTAGACAAGACAATAACATTGTGCGGTAGTATTTTTTAAAAATGACTACAAAAATATTAGTTAGGAGTCATGCATAACTTGGCTCTCTGACTAGCCAAATATAACAATAACATTGTGTGATTTTTTTTTCAAATAACTGAAAATGTTATTTTTCCTTTTTTTAACAAAATCTATGTTTCCTGTCTTGGTATCTTAAATACACAATTGATAAAAATAAAAAAGCACCTCAGGGCAAAATTAAAATGTCTTACCATTTTTTCCTCGTCAAACTCTCCACGTCGCTTAGTGCCATGCTGGTCACTAGAACCAGATTGGTCGGATTTGAATCCATCACTCTCTGGCCCAGAGGTATCCTCGGCACTGCTACTTTCTTCCTCACTGGAGCTATTGTCATCGTTGACCGATGGACGGCTAGGGTCTGATATCAGTAGTGCTGTCAAGCCATTTTCCAATCTTATTGTCCTAAAAAAATTATGCAAATATTAAACGTACAAAGTAAGTAAACCTCACCATAGATACTTAATCCTAGTCAAATAAAATGTATCAACAGTCCGTCAATATGTAAAAAATAGATCAATTAAATACCATGCCTATCAAAACAAATTAATGACTGTATTACTGTGTTTTTGGCAAATAAACGTTTTGAATTTGAATTTGAATTTGACATAATTTTTTCTGAAACTTCATCGTCATCAGGTCTTTACGACTAGACTGCAGAAGGACAACAATATCTAATTTATCAAAGGCAAACAAAGAAAAGTTATTAATTAAAATGTTAAGAATCTTCAAAACTCCAGTGTTTGAATTCTAACCCAAAAAAAATTAATGTTCTTCATTTTACATAGAATCATAAATGATATTGTAGCTATAACAAACAAAACATAGGTCACAATAGTCGCATCTACAGAATAAATGATTATTATGATAAACACTTACTTGTAAACTTTTTTATCAGACTCAGATTTGATGGGTGCTCGCAGAACTTCCACTTTCTCCTTCTTACTCGACATCACAAAAGGTCGAGTTGCATTGCTTAAAAGTTTCATATCTGGTTTAAATTTTGGAGCTCTGTGGAAACCACTTCTTCTGGACATCGCCGCAATAATAGGATTTGTCTTCAGAAATACAGATGTTTTTTGAATAAATAGGGACAGGAATTTTGACATATCATGACATTTCGAACATCGTGTTTCTGGGTTGCAAGTTTATGTTATTCTTTAAGTATAGTAGTTTTTTCCTTAATTTTTGTTATGTCGGAGAATTTATTAAAACCATTATTCTGCGCTTGTGATTTGTAATTGTCTGGATTGTAGACGTTAAAAGTTACCGTAATCGGGGCTCTGATTATGTTTTTAACTCTCAGACTTCTCAGACGCTCATGTGCCTTTACCAAAAGTAATTTTATTCTTTATATCAAATTTTGAATAATAACGTTACTGGTTACTTTTATTCCTCGCCGACCCAAACACAAATATTTAAAAAAAAAATTTGACACTGACATCACAAATGTCAGCCAGTCAGTTTTTGAAAAATCTGCGCCGTTTTTGTGAATTGTATTATTATTTTTGTTAAACTAAATTTATTTCCAAAATTTACTTATTTAGATTCAGTATTAAATGTTTACGTGCTTCAAAACACTACCATGGATCAATCGTACTCGGAAAGCGATGTTTCGCTGTCTCCTTCCCAACTACTGGAGCGATTACAAGTGTTACGGCAACTGCAACTGTTACAACGAGGGAAGCTTCAAAAACAACGCTTGGAATACCAAGAGACATCAGAAACTTCGTCCAGTGTAACTGAGATTGTTAGTCATTTTAGTAACAGCACAAGTTATAATACATTTCGCAGTTTACTTGAGTCTGCTCATGATTCTTCCACTGATGGTACACCTCGGCTGGCGACCAGAGGAATATCGCAAAAGGTGAAAGAACGAGACTTAATCGAAGGTGTATCAATGTTAAATTTGTCACAAGAATCAGAGTTCATTGTTAATTCCCCTGTGTCCTCCAGAAGTCGAAAGTCAGTATTGTCTAGAAACGAGGATATCATCTCACCACGCAGCAATGTCGTTGAACAAAATTCGCTCTCGAAAAAACATATTGCTCTGGATGATATGCCCATACTATCACCTAAAAAAGACTTTGAAGCACTGCTGATGGAGAAACTTCAGGTTGAAAAAACTGTGGCTAAAGCCAAAAGCCCCCAGCAAACAAATAAATACAAAAATAAGGCTAAAAAGCCGTTCCTCAGGAAAGGAGAAGGTATGTCCCGTTTTGGTTTACAAAAGAAGGACTTGGTGATCCAGAACACAAAAGCCTTGCCATGGCGTAGACAAAGTCTTGAAAATAAAAATGTACAGTCTCCATTAAGAAAAGAAATAAATAAACTACCAAAAAGTAAAGATAATAAAGCTAACATTGAAATAATAGTTACAAAACCTCAATCAGTAGATAAAAATAAAGAGGAACTAAAAGAATCCAAAAACAACTCTGAAATAACCAACACAACAAATGAGAAACCCAATAATCATAATTTGTCTGAAAATGTTGAAAGTGCATTACGGCAGCTTATGCAAAAACCACTTACACTTCCAACTGGCAAGCATCCATTGAAGAATGGTAAAGGAAATACCTGGGCATCAGTTTTAAATAAAGAGCAAAATGATTTCCTTAAACAACTCAAGCAAAGTGATTATTACAAGAACTTTACTTCTCCAGCCAAAAGCATTGTATCTGATGTCAGCTGTGATGAGGCACTATGCAAGCTTTCACATGAAAGAGAAACAGCAGAGCAGAATATGTTTGACTTGCTTGAAAGCAAAGTTTCTCATGAAAGCTTCAGCTTAGAAAATTCTTTCTTCAACAAGTTTTTGAGAAAAAGCAAATTAGAATGTTCTGGTGAGAGCACACCACTTGTCATGCAACACTGCTTGGCAAACAACCCAGATTTGATGCACATTTATCCTAATCTTAATCGAAAAAGGAATCAGAATTCCCAAAGTGATGTTGAAACATGTAATAGCGAATGCGCCGATTGTTGTAGTGAAACATGCTCATCTGTATCCAGTTGTTGCTCTTGCAAAACCGTTGAAGAAACTAACAATACACACTGTACAGAAAATAATAAAAAAGAAGTTGGCCATAAAGGCAAAACTAAAACTACAGACAGAAAAGGAGCAAAAGAGGTTCCTCCTGATAATGATAAAGATAAAAATGATGCTGTCAATGCTAATGACAGTCTTCAATCAAATATGGTGGAAATGAATGCCAAATTAATTGCCACTAGTGAATTATTGAAAGACAGGTTGCGTGAATTGGAAGATGAAATAGAAACTTTTAGAAAAGAAAATGCAAATCTCACGAAAATGCGTGAAGAAATTGACATAGAAAGGCAAAAGTTCTATGAAGAAAAATCTATGTTTGAACAGAAATTCAATGAGGAGAAAATTATGTCTGAATATTACTTAGCTGAAGAAAAAGAAAAACTGACTAAGCAAAAGCAAATGTATGATAAGTATGTAAGAGAAATGAGGGGGCGTTTGAATAAAAAAGATAAAGATGAAGTGTTAAATTTGAGGAAAGAAATAAATGATCTCAAGGAAGAAATCAGAGTAAAAGATGCTAAGTCCACATCAACTATAGCCAGACTCCGAAATCAAATAAAACTAATGGAAAAAGAAAAGAAAGCTGCTGATGATGAAATAGAAAAATTAAAGAAGGAAAATCGACGAATACAGCATAGTAATGATATGACTAGAAGAATGACAAATATAAAATATTTAGAGCAAATAAACAAAAAACTTTCTAACATGACTGCTAAAGAGACTCGTTCAGAAGTAACCCTTGACTCTAATGCCAAATACAAAACATTTGAAATTGAAAGACAGAGTAGAAGTAGAAAAGTTCCATCAAATAATGCTGATAAAGTAATGAGAACCAGAGCTAAAAGTGTTCCAAATCTAAACGTAACATCAAGATATGCTAAATACTTTAGTCAAAGAGATGCAGGGAGTGACTTTGAAAGAAATAGAACAGTAAATATAGAGGCTTTGGATAAATATGATTACACATCTGATATTGACATTGAAAACGAAATACTAAATGATCGCGGTGATTCCATACAGTCTAAAGAAAATTCTGACCCTGAAGATGATAATAATTTAGAAAAGTTGTATATGGAAAGGTTTCATTCAGTTTCCCCTAAAAGTTCAAGGTCTAATATATCAAATCCAAGCACTAGTTACATTTCTATTAGCAATAATAACCCAGACACGTTTTTTATTTCGAAATCAAATTCAAACAGGGATTCTAGATCACCAAGCAACACTGTATCTCCTTTCAATAATTCTAACGAATCATTATCCAATAGATCTAAATCTTCATCAACTTTGAGTCACAGGTCAAGTGATCAGAGGTCACCAAGAGATTTCAATGATGACATTTACGTAAACAGAGATACTAGCAAAAACTTGGCTGCAACTTCTCGAAGTTCTAGCAAATCTCAGTCCAAGTCCCCTGTGTCAATTCTTACTAACAGATCAAGTGTACTAAAGCCTGAAACAGTAATACACAATGAAAACTACATGGGAAGATTACCGACTGTGTCGTCTAACCCTTCTTCAAGCAAATCTAGCTTGACCAAAACGAACTTGAACCCAATAGAGATAAAAAAGCCTGATGGTTCAAGGGAACTCCGCTTCCCAAACGGAAATGTAAAGTTTCTATCATCTGATGGGAAATACAGCAAGTTTGTTTACTACAATGGTGATGTCAAGGAGAACTTTTACACTGAAGGGCGCATCAAATATTTCTATGCGGATACGAAAACCTATCACACCACACATGCAGATGGGCTAGAAGTGCTGGAATTTATAGAGTAAGTGGACTTGTTTCTTAGTTTTTTAATGACACAAAATTACTTGTTTATTGGGTCTTTCTATTTTTTCATCCATTGGCCTCTGCTGGTCATTTACTTCCCTCAAGCAGTGCCAAAGAATACGAATTCCCTCTTTCTTATCTAGCCACTGCCAGCCATCTTCTTGAGATCGTTAATTTGTCCATCGATCAGGGCGTCTGAAACTACGCTTGCCTTGCCTTATCGCAAACCGGTTTTCTTCACTGTTCATTAATTCTCCGTCAGATATAGCTAGCTCAGCACTGGCTTGATCCCTTTTTGAGCTATTCTCAAATTACATTACTTTGATTGGTCTAGAGAAGACCTCGTTTCGCATAAGAACCTTCTGTAGCGCACATTATGGTTACTTATTCAGTGTTTTATATTCCAGTGGTCAAGTAGAAAAGCGCTACAAAGACGGCTCGACTGAGATCCGGCTTCCCAACGGTAGCGTCCGCTACTTTGACCCCAAGAATGAACACGTACGCGAGGAGTGGAGATTCCCCGATGGCGCCGCTCTCACAATCTCCGCGAGCGGAGAACAGCGTGTGGTGTTCAGCAATGGACAAGTCGAAGTGCATACCAAAGATCATAAGGTACCTACCTACTTCTTTTGGCTTTAAAGGCTTTGTATCAGTCAACGATAGTGTGTGAATTTTATTTATGAGCATTCGTTGGACTACCATTTATTATAAATGGGGCCGTCCATAAATTACGTCATCGATTTTTTCAGATTTTAGACCCCCCCCCCTACAATCATCCTATCGTCATNATTTAGCAAAGCAACTTATTGCAAACTTTTAATTCGCAAATGTTGTTTTTGGCATATTATTGTTTAGCAAATTATTGTTTGGCAAAGTATGGTTTGCCAAATGTTTCATTAGGCAAAAATATTTCACGATAAACTATTTACAAAATAATTTGATTGGTGCATAGTAGAATGGATACAAATTAGCTTATGGTTATTATTTTGTTTAGTGGGTAGTTAATATAAAATTTGTTCTACATTAATTTCCTTATTTCATTCTTTTTATCGAAATTTCCAAATGATTCATTAACAATAGAGGTGGTTCTAGCGCTCGGCGGCCGCTGCCGCGGCACGCTTCGCTCGCCTTCGCGCATTAAGGGTCACTGTTCTAACCTAACCTAACCTACTTTTTTCTGTAATACCTACTTTTTGCAACCATATTATTTCCTGCAATGTTTTATATTAAATTCTTGTGAAAACCATGATCATGTGCCTTATACTTTGATTTGTGGGTAACGGTGGGTAAGTATGTTGAGTGTCAATTTGACCAAACAAATTATTTGGGATATAATATTTGGCAACATAAAACATTTGCTATATAAACATTTGCCAAGTAAAATTTGGCCAAATGATAATTTGACCAAATGAATTAGTTGCGAAAAGTACAGTTGCTAAAAGTTCATTTGGGAAATGAAACTTTGGCGATAAGTTGTTTGCGAAGTGAAATTTGGCGAAAAGTAATTTGGCCAAACGGAAGGATACCGGACGGCCCCAATGCTGGTTCATTCAACTTTTTTAGGTCCTCATTAAAATCATCAAGCCGAATTTTACAAATCTGCATCATTGTCTTACATATTTTACCAAATCTGATGACAACTGATGAACTGAGTAACTTAATAATTGAAGTTATTTGCTCATGGTGTTAGGTGTATGATGTATAATTTTCTTCTACTTGAAGTTCTTTGCTAGTGTTGTATGATGTATCTTTTTCTTCTCACAATCTACAAAATACACTCCATTTCTTCACAGCGGCGCGAATTCCCCGATGGAACAGTGAAACTGGTCTACAACGATGGCACCTCGGAAACTCGCTACGCGTCAGGACGCGTGCGCATCAAGGACAAACACGGCAACGTCATCATGGACTCAGCTACTGGATGAGAGTCCACAGTTCTGCGAATGGTGAGGCAGCCTACATAGGTAAGGGACTGGTAGCAGTACTGTAACAGCAGGTCTCGTATTGTTCGTATTTCTAGAAGTTTTTTCTTACTCTTTTCTGAACCACGCCCCAAAATTAGGCTCGTATATGGAACATCCTGTATAAGTTGTGATAAATTAAACCCCTTCTGCAGTTAGTGGCTAACAAAATGAAAATAAAGTCTTATGTTAATTAAATTATTATTCTCTGCAAAGTATGGTCACTTCAAGACCAGGATTATCTTACATGGCCAGCTGTAGTATACAATGTTACTGTCATAATATAAATGCATGCAGCTTAGTAATAGTAGCAGCTTTTCAAAATGCAACATCCAATAAAAACAGTGCATGATTGTAAATATAAAAACTTCATAAGATTATTAATTAAATAAACTAAATGAATTTGTTGTAAAAGTTGGTTTCTATTTGTAGTTAGTGATTGTTGTTAAAATATACAAACTGTAAATGCCAGGCTGTTAAATTGTTTGGAAATATTTTAAAATACTGGTGCACAAATTGACAATAACCTAATAAATACTATTATTATAAGACTGTAATTTTATATGGCGAATTTATTTGATAAGGAAAAGTATTTAGTAAAGAATGTTATGTACTTGTAATTTGATATTCTATTGATTAAAATAAAACTTTAAAATTACACAATAAACTATTTTATTTCTAATTTTAATGTAATATTACACTGATTAACTTGCAGATATTTGACTTCTTGTTTGTGCATTGCGTTTCGGTATTCCGTCAAGTTTGAAATTAATTGGTTTCATGTGGTCTTCTGTGCCAAATATTTTCTTTAGCGCTTCTCTTGCTGCCATTTCCTTTGCAGTAGCAACAGTTTCCCCAAAACCTGCAACATTTTATAGTATTTAAAAGTAGAATATAGTAATTTAAATGATTGTGCATGTATTGCTTACTCTAGATTCTAGAACAAGTTTAATGCTTAACTATTTAATCTTTAAAAGACAGATTGTGACAAAAATAAATTGACTCAAATGTTAGAACAAGTGCCATTTTAGAAATTATTTGTCTTGGCATAAGGAAACAGATTTATGGGGCATAAAAACTTTGTTTTACCTGAGGATATCATCTGTTTATCCACATAGAGCCCTACTCTGAAACAAGCTAAAAGTGTGTTCTTTCCCGTTTCTCCAATAAGGCGGGGTTCGACAGTGTTGTTGTCTTTGGCCAGTAGGCCAGTGAGCATGCCCCAAGGATCTTCTATTGACCAGTACTCATTCACATCTTTGCCTGAAATATACCATACAATTTATGTTAGAAACAATCAAATTAATAAATGTCGCTTCATTTTCTTGAGATTACTGATGTGGTAGTAAACAAATATGCATAAAATTACCTTGCAATTGCGTTATAACGAAGTCCCTTACGAAATGTGCAGCACTAACTTCACCTGATGACCGCAGTAATGCACCGACAATGGCTTTGAAGGCATTTGCTAGAATAAGATTATCCACTGGATATTCCTGAAAATATTGCAAGGATTAACAGTTTATCAAATCCATTAACAAATTGTTTGCTTATAAAAGTTTAAGGAAATAATCTGCAGAGTGTACTGGATGAATTGTGACTACAACTTATTATGTTGTAATGTTTAGTACTTTAGTCATAGAAACTCAATCTACAAACTTACAGCAGCCAATATCATGTCCTTAGTGCCGAGATGAGATGACACGTGGGCCAGGGTGCTCTCACTGGTCAGGTGCTGACTTACACCAGCCACTCCTTCTAGAGGAAACTTGGGCAGGGCAGTTTCCAGGTACAACTGGATGTATTCCTTGATGAATTTCTCACCTGTAAAAAATATTTAGAGAAAATTGTTATATCTTTCTGAAAGTAATTTTCTGAAATCCTGATAAATAGTAAGCTAATGGAAAACATCGGCATCATAACGAGGAATATTTTATCTCTTACTAGACGAGTCTATTACCTTCTTCAGCTAACTGCCTATTATCTTTAACTTTGATATCAATATCCATTTCTTTCTGCTTCAATTCTTCTTTGATGACGTATGACCTGTCTGTAAATGCTTCTAGCAGTAAATCTGAATCGAAGTCCTCATTGAGCCGCTTTCCGAAGGCATACAGTTCAGCTTCCAGGTTCCATTCCAAAAACGTATTTCGCGGGTTCTGTTTCTTTCCTCCGAGCTTGTCTTCTCTCCTTTTCAACTTTCGTAAAGTCGGTGCTACCCATCGACTTATATTTTGACCTGTAATTATTCGTATTATGAATATTTGTCATAAAATTAATTCATAAACCGTTTACATGCCTACTAAAACCTAAAACTTACTTTGAATTGTGATGGGTACAACTTGTCTCACTTTGGAAATTAAAGGCACAAAACGTGTTACCAAAGCTATTTTATTCATTTTGTTACTTTATTTTACGAATTTATACAAAAAATAGGAATTGTTTTTGCATCTTACGAGCATCTGTCAAAAAGATTTTGAGGTTAAGTATTTTTTTAATATGTTACCAGCAATAATTTTGAATTTCTACTATTTTGTAGAGCTAACAAATATCGTTATTATAACGTTATTGAAATGGAATTAGTTTCGAGGGAAAAGGCATAGATGTATCCTACTAATATTATACATAAATGCGAAAGTTTGAATGTCTGGATGTTTGTTGCTCTTTCACACAAAAACTACTGAACGGATTTTGATGAAACTTTAATGTGTTATTATTTTAGCCCAGAATAACACATACAGGGTGGAAACGATAAGTGATCTCATTCGATTATTTCTAAACTGTACAAGATATCGAAAAACTGATTACTGATCCTGAAAGTGCTTCACGAGCTCTTTCAAACGATATCAGTAATAGGTTACAGAATTAACTGGATCCATCCGAAAATTCAATATTTTTAGCCTCCATACTAAATGTATGCCACAATGCCAGCCACACAATATTAGAAGTGCTAATTTTTTTATTTCAAATAATAAACACTTAAAATTAACTCGTAAATTGCATTCTTATTTAAAAATATTTATGGAAAACATTGGTTTTAGGCTTTACTTGCTAAAATATTATCAAGACATGAGTGCCATGACTGTGGCAGTACTAAATGTATGGTATTTTATAACTTATTATTGGTACCGTTGGATAGAACTCGAGGAGCACTTTCAGGATCAGTAACCAGTTTTTGAATATCTTGTATAGTTTTTAATATAATGTGGTTTTACTAAATGTATGGAGGCTGGAAACATTGAATTTTCAGATAGATCCAGTTTATTTTGTAACCTATTATTGATACCATTGGATAGAGCTCGTGAAGCACTTTCAGGATCAGTAACCAATTTTTGGATATCTGGTATAGTTTAGAAATAATCGAGTGAGATCACTTATCGTTTCCACCCTGTATATGTGACAAGCTAAATTTCACGCGGGTGAAGCCGCGGGCAAAAGCTAGTTTCCGCATATAATAAAAGAAACATGACCTTAATATGTTGTTGTTTACCGTTTACTTGTTGCTGCTTGCATTAGTCAGGTACAGTGGGCCACAGTTCCAGCTACCCATTCCCGATCTTTATTGGTTTTTCTCATCAAATGGTAATTCTTTGCCCTTTTGTACCCTTTGCACCACCGGNGTATATTAATGAATGAGTATCATACGTTGGAACTGTGTACAGTCAATAGCAAAGTCGGTGATTAGAATCGGAAATTCAATACCGATGAACGATATTCGCGTATCGCGTCTGTCTACCGTCCGTGTGGCGTTGAAGTGATTTTATTAAAGTAGGGGATTGTAAAATATCATGGGATTCGCTACTTATTAAAGCTGCTGTCAAATTCATCTTCGCCTGTTGCTATTAACTGTACTAGTTACATACTTATTTTAGTTAAACGCTCCTAAAAACGGATTTTAATGAAATTTTATTATGCTTTACATCCGTAAGGAAATATCAAATAACTACGCCCATTATTATGACTACACTTGCACTCTACAATCCATTTTCTCTATTCTTCGAGAACGCTAGCAGTGGTTGTTTGCCACCATAATCGCTATCATTACATTAANTGCACTAAATTCCCTACTATAATAAAAGGTATTATAAGTATAATTATTTAATTTTATAAACTTGTACAAAACTACAAAAACAAAACAAACGAAAATAAAGAGAAAATCAAAAAGATTTCTTCTTTTATAAAAAATAGGTGTAAGCTATAAGTAGTGCGTTCTGTATATTGAAATTGTAGACTGTACAGACGCTGTTGAGTTCTTCTTAACTCTTGCGAATCGTCAAAAACTCTCGTACGGAATTGAAGAAGCCTCTTTTCATCTTGCTGTTCACTGGGTATACACTGTGATTACTGTAGAATGACGCTGACGTATCGTATATTGAAGAACTCACTTCTATTGCCTGCGAAATAATCAATCAGTTCACATAATACATCATAATTATAAAAGAACTTTCTATGCTTAATATGCTTCTCACAGTTAATTGAGTTAATTGAAAAAAAGGGTTAAAATAATTTAGTCTTCCTCGAGAACCATTCAAATTAGGTAAGAAGAAAAAGCAATTCCTAAAGCGTTTTCTTATCAACACACTCTATTATATTTTTGACTGTGTTGTTTCGGTCCTACACAGACATTGGTAACACTATGCTTACCCCCAAAGAAGTGCTGATGTGATAGGAATCTATGGAGCTGTTGATGGATGGCTCTTTGACAGGGAGGTTGACTATTTCATTCAGCTCCGAGGCTCTGGCCGACCGCATAACCAAGCACGACATTAGCCTCCTTAAGAAAGGCTTCTTCTGCTTCGACTCCTGAGCCATGATGAGGGGCTTTGGAGAAATCATCACGTTGTTGTCTTCAGAGCAAAGCGAATAAACTGACGTGCCTAGGTTCGGAGTTGGGCACTTTCTATGTCCTGAAAGTTAAATACGACTTGGTATACAAAGAATGGGTTGTTCCCTCATGGTTCTCCTGGTTTAGAAGACTGAGTTTCCACGATTTCCTACTGAAAGCAAAGATCTTTATAGTATGAGCATAACAGACTCTCGTGAACCTGCTTTGTCTCTCTGATACTAATTTCACAACTTAAATCTACTTTGAAGCTAGTGAGTAGGTATGTAGGTAATTATTGTAATTTATTATAAACGCATATTACGTAATAATATTCATTGCTCTTTTGAAACTAACTAAGGATTATGACTTTGATGTGTTCTTTCTTAGGTTATATCTTTTTGTATGGATAATTTAAGATATTGTGTAAATCATTAAAATAAGCGAGTACTTGAGTAGTTACCATTAAAAATTGTATGTATGGAGTGAGATTCTTTTTGGTCCAGCGGCGGGGGACACGTTGAGCCAGCCTCCACCTTGGTAGATGAGAAGGTCACGCGTTTCATATAAGACATACTCGCGTACTGAATCTCCATTGACGACATCGCCTGCCGCGGCGTCACGTCCTTCTGTTCATTGTTATCCTTTTCTTCCGTTGTAAACAGAACCATAGTATTTCTACTTTGTTTCTTCATTGATCGAGCTTTAGATTTATGCGACAAAGTGCTCTTAGCATTCATCGCCAACTCTTTCTTATTAGTTTGACTCTGCTTATCATAATGCAACGGCTGCCCTGGATTGGTTTTCCGTCTTACATCACCAACAGACACTAAACTGGTCTTGCAAATGCATTTCTTGCGCTTGTAGTCTCGACCAGTCTTGTTGGCTATTGTGCTCTCTATTGTCCTTTTTACTTTGTCGTACTGCTTCCGCGATAATATTATCGGTTTTTGCTTAGAGAATTGCTCCACTTGCAGAAACACTTGTATATTACGATTGAGTATCAGCTGCTGGTAGAGTGAAGTTCGTTGCACTTGGGTTTCATATTGTGTGCCCGTGCTGTTAGCTCTAGACTTTCTAATAGATTTCGACGATTTGTGGGTCTTCCTTGATATTTTGTCTACTACCGGACTCGGAGGTTCTTCCACCGGACTCGGAGATTCCTCTACCGGACTAGGAGGTTCTTCCACCGGACTTGGACTCTCCTCTACTGGACTGGGGCTTTCTGGAGGCGGACTAGGCGACTCTTCCGGACTAGGACTCGGGGGAACATTCTCTTCTGGAGATGCAGAATCACTTGAACCTGGTTGTTGCTGAGCAACTTCTTTATCGATTTGGCTGGATGTAGCGTGGACCTTTTTGCTGCTTTGACTAGGAACTCTTTGAGATGCAGGATGAATACTTTTTGGTTTCGGTTGGGGCTCCTGATAGGTTTGTGGTTTTGCTTCATTGCTTTCGCTACTACAGAATCTTCGTATGTCACAGCAAACACACGGTGGTTCTTCAGGCATTTCCATAATGTTAATACCGGTAACTATTTTCTTTTGCCTGCAAAAAAATTGCATACTTATTTTATTTCGTATTTATAACGAAATCGTTTATTATTTCTACAACATTTACAATAATAAATTATAAGTGGTTATTTTTTGGTGCTAAAACAAAAATAAATAAAGAAAATATGATCACGTTTTTCCATAGAAATAGTGTAGAGGAACAGCAAACTTATTTTCTTCAAGTTTAAGGCCCTAGAAAATTAAAATAAATTAAATACAAAACGCAAAACAAAGATAGAGCATCAGTTAATATTATGCTTCATTCACACGAAAAGCTTACAATGATCTGGACATCACAATTGTACTATACAATGTAGGATCCGTGCGTTCATTGTTAGGTAGTTCATAGTAACGGGCGTGTTTAAAATGAACAGGAAAAATGCGTATTAAGCAGTTTTATTTACACCCCTATAAGCTTCGCATGTGCTTGACGTTGCATTCATCAGACATGAAAAACTGACCTGATTAACTGCACTGTGGATACCTTTATCAACACCAAGAAGTGCCCTTATTTCCTTATCCCTCTTTATTGGATCTGCTATGGTGCAACTGTCTCCTCTATAATGTTTGATGGGAGCTAAAAGAACGAAATTAATATCTAAATTATTTATTGATTACCTACTAGTTTTTGTTTGATAGTCATAGATTCAACATCATATTACAAAGTCCTCATGGACCTCATGAAAGGTTGATATGCACCTGAAAACTGACCACTATCATCATCAATTTTGGATTTTTGATTATGTGTCACAGTGTGTTCCACAGGTGGCTTGTAATCGCGTCTGCAAAGATGAAAATCATCAATTAATTTTAAGTGCGAAAATACTTTGAATTCCGCTTTAAAGTTATTAAAATATCCGGCGATAAAAAAAGTCAAAAATAAAATCTACCTGTGAGATATTTCAATACTATCTCTTACAAGTAATCTTGAAAAGGTTTTTTTTATTTTCTGGTCGTCTTTCTGCTGAAAATAAAATTGCAAATGTTTCGTATAATTTTCGATAAAATTTTAAAATGTAAACATGAACATTTTCGAGAAAGTTACCTGGTTTTTGGATCGCACTGGCGATGTTCTTCTCTTTCGTTCATCGTTGACTAGCAATAGGTTTTTCATCGTGGGAGATGAAGCTTTATCATCCTCTGTTTTTCTTTTGATAGAGCAGGCAGGGCCTTTAACAGTTTTCCTAAACTTTAAATCAGTCGTACTATTTTCGTGTTGAAATAAAACATCGTAGAGTTCTTTGTCGCCATCTATATTGATTGTAACTTTTGAAGGATCACTTTTTGGAAATCTACGTTTGGTTTCCCCATTCTCATTATTCAGGTAATCTGTTAACTTTTTTGTATAGCTATCGACTAAAATTTTCTTCGTTACATTGTGATCTGTATTTATTCCTTTAGTTTCTTTAGAGCTATTTATTTGAGCAAAGCCGTACTTTTGCCTGCTTTTGGAAAAATCTGCTTTGTTATTGGTTCTTTCATTATTGATTCTGTTTTGTTGAATTGGCCTGTTGATGGATGGTGAAACTTCACGCCCTGGACTAGCTTTTCTTGTGTTGGTTCTTAAGACTCTGGCTTCAGCTACATTATGCTTGTTTGTGTTTCTGTTCTGAGGCGAAGGTGAACGGCTCCTTGATCTCGAGCATTTACTGTCAACCTTTTTCTCATTGTTCTGTCGTGTTCCACTGCTGGGACGTTGAGAGCTATGTCCGAAGACACTTGGTTTGCGCGGCGACGAATATTTACCATCATCTTGGTAATTTTTCACAATTTTCACATTATCACAACAATCTTGCATTGGATACACAGATATTATAACCAGAGGGCTTTGGCAGTCTTTGACAGAGTTGGAATCGGTATCGCTGTCCGTGAGATTTGCACAATTAGTGTCGATGTTAGTTCGACAGCATTGTATTATTTCGTCCTTGTGTGGAAATGTATTTTTACAAACAGGAACATCTCTTGTTTTACCAGTATTCAAATTCACTTGAGTAGCTTGCGATTCTTTGCTATAATAAAATCAATTCAAGGTAAATTAACAATAATCGTAAGAAAATCACAGTACCCATTAATCGGTTATTTCTTTCTGCAGTGTTTATACTAACTTTTGCATAATCGTTGGTTTCGGAGACATTTCCCATTTGTTTTCATGTTGAAGATCTGCTTGTATGTTGAAGTCTCTTTTTTGCCTATAGGATTAATAATTATTAATTAATTAAGGAAATGAGAGTAGTTGTTTGTATGAATTGATGATACCTACGTGGAACATGTAGCAGCGTTGTAGCATCGCGTCAAACAAGTATTTTGGTTGCAGAAGTTGAAAGATCTGTAAAAATATTGAACGAATTGGTGAGCTAGTCGTTAATATCAAGTTGTACCTACTACATTACTATGGAGATCATAAATTAGAAGTAAATGTAATCAACAAACAATTATTTTCTTACTTTCGTTCTTCCTGACATACATGGGGCGAAGTTTGTTGAACTGTGGCGAAGTCCGACGTAGCTGCAACCAGATCAAACCATCTATGAGCTAGTATGACTATAACAGGAATATTGATAATAAGATTAAACTTACCAGGTTTATCATGAACAGTAGCAGCGCACCTCAACACATATCTATCATCTTCAGTCATCCCTAGATGTCCGGTGACTCGAACATGATTCTTCCCAGCTGCATCTGACGCTGCAGCTTCTCGAGGCGAATAAAAACATTTGCAATCTCGGAACCTTTCGGAGTCACGGACTGCATTGGGACACCTGCACTCTTCAAACCGTTCGTTCCCCGTCCTTGAGAACATCAAATAATCGTCTATATTGTTAGGTTTTCCTATTCGTAACGTATCTTTCTCTCTGTCCATGTTCAAAGAGTCCAGCACCAATTTCAGACTTGATAGCTGTTCTAGTGGTATTACTTCATCTTTCAGGCTGTTTTTGGAGCGTGTATTCGCAAATTTAGCACTCCCAGTTGTTTTGATTTCGTACACCTTTTCTCTTTTACGACCTTTTACAACAAGGTAGACGTTCTTCGTCTGTATAGAGTTCTCTTGGTTGGATACTGTTGTGTGGATTCTCTTAGGGAGGTTTAGTCGTCTTTTTATGGCATTAGAAGCTTGAGTCTGGGAGGTTTTTGGTATTACCGTCACTTTGATCAATGGTTTCTCCTTTGAGTTAGGCAAGTGAGTAGGGAAAGTGCTGGGGTTTTGAAGTCGAGGGCCTAACAAATTTGAGTAACTCAACACTGAATATTGTTGAAGAATCTGTAAAAGTTAAGGTATTAAGTTATCTATTCTACTTAAAAAAGTTTGGTTACACTTCATATTAGGCAATGTTTTCACCTCTCGTTCCGTGGTTTTCTTCAAAATAAGCGAAGTCGACGATTCGGCAGTTCTGGGTTTAGATTGTGGATATTGGCAATCTTTAGAAATCTGTTTGCGAAATTCTTTTAAAACTTTTATATTATTAGTATGACTGTCTAATTTTACTGCCGTGCCTCTGTTTGAGTTCCTGGTAACTCTTTTCACTGGCGGTCTCAGAAAATCCAGTGATTCTAAAAACACACACAACAAAAATAAAAAAAATGTTCGAAATATACGAAAATAAACAAACATACAATTTCAGATCTAACCTATTAACTCTGAATCGACACTGCTGTAATCCATTTCGATAATTTTGTGTTTTTATAAAATAAAAATACCGCGACAAAAATACGACATGACTCCAATTTTGTCATTGACAAAGGTGACATGAGACAGGCTGACACTGACTTTTTTAATTATTTTTAACGAATTGCTATTGTATCGCAACCTGCATAGTAGTTAGGTATAACCTTTTTACCGTAAAAGATCTTATCTATGAATTTAGCTGCGGCTGCTACATTATGTCAATTTGACATAATCTTTGTTGTGTAAACAAATTAGCATGTTCCGCGGAAATTGCTAGTGTTAACTTAATTTATGTTAATTACCTACTTTGTTTCTACCTAAAGCATGTGACATTACAATAAAAGGCTATTAAATAAATACCACAATGGCTCTTTTCCTTGAAGACCGTTTGAGAACCCAGATGGTGATCCCGGTTTCAAAGGGGACTTACTTCAACACAAACTGGACCCCGACTGAGGCGCCACTGTGCGCCTATGACATGCTCTACCACCCTCCTGATTACAATCCCAAGTCGGCTCGGTCTGATCGTCAGGAACCCAAGATTATAAGGAAAAATATCTGGCTCCAGGTATTATTTGATAAGGCATTAAGCAAATGTTTTCTAATAGATCGGGTTAGACCAGTGTTTCATATGTATGGGGACGCCGACGCCTGGGGGTCCGCGCGCATATTTACGTAGGGGTTCGCAACCACCTATGGACTATTTTTATAATCGTAAGTTAATGCCACCAAAAGTCTCGTCGGGTGTTTCTAATTAACTATCGAAGAATAACTTCCTTCATTCCATTTTTCGATTTATTGGCTTTTTTGTCACCCATTATCCATTATTTATATAGCTTTTTCGCGCAGTGGACTGATTTGATTTGGGCGTCAAACTGGTTCCCAACACCCTGATGGCGCCTACTTTTGATGAATCATCTTTCCCACCGCTGGGATCTTCTGTTTGTTACCGTTCACAGGAGGTACACAAAGGCATACCGTCGACAACACATTTCCGTCTAGGCCGCCCCAAATGGAAACCTATTGACCTGCCCACCAAGCAGTATGTGAGAGCTCAGGGTAAGTAAAAAAAAAAAATATTCGTTCAATCAATATTATTTTTATAAAATTCTAAATAATATTAAAATTATCCAGGAAGGCGTATGTAGAGTCCTGTAAGGTTTGATTTTAGGGAACAAAGAAATACCACCAACGCAATTAGGGCAGCGTTTGACAAAACCATCATCAGCACTTCTTAAAGAATTTGCCATATTGAATGCGTTCTGCGGTAATCGGTCAGGTTAAAGTGCAGAACAACAGAGAAAATTTCACAGCGTGCTATGGAGAGGGCTATGCTCGGAGTTTCTCTACGAGATCGAATCAGAAATGAAGAGAACCGTAAACGAACTAAAGTCGCTGACATAGCCCAACGGATTAGTAAGCTGAAGTGGCAATGGGCAGGGCATAACAGTACGCAGAACTGACGACCGATGGGGCAGCAAGTTTCTGGAGTGGAGGCCACGTACCGGAAAGCGCAGCGTAGGACGTCCAGCCACAAGATGGACCGACGACCTCATAAAGGTAGTGGGAAGGCGCTGGATGCAGGCCGCCATCAACCGGCCATTGTAGAAATCATTGGGGGAGACCTATGTTCAGCAGTGGACGTCCTATGGCTGAAATGATCATGATGAAAGTGCAGAACGCATCCAATGTGATCGATTTATCAGGCAACCTCTATTTACTTATTAAAGAAGATTTTAAGAAATTTCGAACCTAATAAGATCTTTTTCTTGCAGTCAAAAATGAAAACCCCCACATGAGGATCTACAATGTGCTGGAATGGGCGGTACTCCTCAACGAAGGAAAACCTCTATGTGAGTGACACGTGCTCATACTTCTTTCCAAAGTTGCTAGAAATTGTAAATAATTATACCTCAATAAAAGCAAATAAGATCATATTATTTATACGCGTTTTATTGTAGACTTTCTTAAACACTTGTCAAATATTTAAGCGGCAAACATAGTTTCTTCCTGATTACATGTTTATTTAAAAATGACTGGCAACAAATAATTAAACAATATTATAATACTAAAAGGACTATAGCACGACTTCTTCACTTTGATTAAAAATTATGTGTTTCTTATTTTAATAATTATAATTTAAATTATTGACATAGCCTAAAAATTATATCGATTCTATTGGACATTACATGTACCTAGTGTGTAGGTATATTCTTTAAGGAAAAACCGGAATAGATATCAGTAGGTACTTTAACCGGTATAAGGTGATCCGTCTGCTCGTTTGCCTCCTGTCACATAAAAAAAAACATAAGTAACATACCTGCAGAAGCAGCTTCAAAGACCTCACAATGAGGAAGCTCTTGGCCTGCGCCCCACCTGATGGAAAATTATCAGGCTGATGAAGGTAAAAGCCGTCTTCACCCGGACAGAGGAACTGGCTATCTGAACCTTTGCTTAATTATTTCACTGTCTTTAAGATTGCTGCAGTATTCTGCTCCATTTCCTTCGTAATTCCTATTTTCAGCCATTATCTTCCTGTCATTGTCGTTACAAGCTTCTTCTTTATTGATTTTGAATGCGTGACCATTTTTCACGATTTCTTCAAAACATCTGAAATAAGTAAATAACTTGTTCGGATGCAAGAATATCATACTTACCTACCTACATTAATTTTGTTTATACTGTAAATAACATTTACTTAAAAATACAAAAACATTATTTGTACAACTTAATTTAACACGGCCGTGCCCGTGCACGGTGAAAATGTCATGCCGATTCTAAAAGTTAATGGTTCGCGCATCCCAAATATTCGTAAAGACACTCTACACTTTTTTCACCTCAGTCCTTGGTCCGTTAAAACTTCGACGCTAATTACACAATAAATATTCACAATAATAGCAAATTGCACAAACCATTATCTTTTTTGGAAAACTTCACTGAATAAACGGCGCTTTATCATTGAAACCTGTCATTAGATTCCGCATACGTGATGCGACGGAAGTCAATTTAAGTGGCAGTTAGTGCCCTTCGTAAATTATCTTGGGACCTAATTTATGGAATTTATAATTTGGTAACCCTTCGTTTAGTGTTTTGTTATTACATAATGATTTGCACATGAGATTTTTGTGTGAAATTAGTTCTCGACTTAAAATATTTCCTCTGTCTGTTTACCAATTTATTCCCACATCATGGGACTGATAACTTCCTCCACTAACATAGGCTCCAGAACTTGAAACCACTTGAGATGGTACAGGTAGTACTGAAACAGATGAAGGTGGCTTTCAAGACACGAGTGAAAGGCATCTTATGGACAAGCTTGCATCATCAAAGAGCACATCCGCACCCTTCAAACTTGAGCTTAGGACAAACCCATTATGCCCCGTCAACACAAAAGGAAGAATGGGACATTCTCCTAATTATGTAAAATTCCCATAAAGTAAACTGGGGTGCTTTTGCTAGATACCCTTAGTGGCGCCTGGCCTACCTTGGCGGTGTGATAGGGCACTTCTTCCGCGTCAGTTCGTTTACTCTGCCCTTGCGCCAGATAATGTCCTAACAGCTCATCCAATATTTGTACATAAATAAAAGGTAAATAACAACGAGACTCAGTTGAAGAAGTCGCGCTATACCCACCATAATCGCTTATCATCATAGTGTACTTTATCTAGGCGCCTTGTTAGGCTTTGCATATATTAGTGTGAGAGCTACTTATGAACTTGTGTTTGGCAATTTTTTTTATTACATTGGCGGTGGTCCCTGCACCGAGGTCGTTACCCTTCAAACCTGAATCTGATTGTGTCCCGTTGCATTTTCATTCAAAACTAAAGAAAAGGACCAAACAAAAGTTACTTATCAATGTGAGTACAAGTTTTGTTTTCGTTTTTTTATATTTTGGGAGATTTGTATTTTTGCGACAGTCCAGACCAGCGAGATACGTACTTGAAGGTAATTACTTTATTTTTCGAAAATAAAATTACCTAATTGTTTTACGGGAAAAATATTTTTACTAAAGCATCGGAATAAAGTTTAAAGCTGAGTATGGTTTAAATTAAATTTTATTCATATTCCATCAGTTTATTTTCATAGTATTTATAGGTAGGTAAATAAACAATTTAAAAGACTTCGGTAATATAGTATGTAATTCAGGAAACACGCTTTTAAATAAAAAAAAACAAGATTCCCTTTCCTAGAAAGAATAAAACTGCAATGTCTTATTTTATAATTAAGAGATCGTCTAGCTAGGTACTCTCTAAGAAGGCTATGTTTCAATTAATTTTATTACTACTTAAGTATAAGTAGTAAGCAATCACGGCGTCCAATGCAGCTGATCATTTTGTTATTTATAAGTATTTTATTCTAACTAAACATAATAGAATAGAAATAAATAAATTTTCAAATAAATTAACCTTTGAAAAACTTTCCGACATAAGATTTTCCGAAAGAATTGGATACCTATATTGAAATCATTTAGTTTGAGGCATTCCAAAGTTAAGTTCTCAGTAATGAACGTAATAATAAGTATTTTATTACATTAATAACAAACGTAAAGAATGTTCACGTGGGACTCTACAACAAGGCGGGAACAATCCTATTCAATAGTAGTTAGATGCTTTTCACTCATTTCTTACTTACAGTGCATCAAATGGATAGTACCTATTTATAACAGCTTGATTTAAGCAGACACGTTTATTTCTAAGATGTAAAGGAATAGTTAATGTCCAGAGAAGAGGAAATTCCTCTATTGTTTACTTGATTACAATAAGCCTTTCAATTTAAGATTAGTAATGCACAATTCAACTTACTTATTGTGTTTTCTACCACTGTACCAAATGGTACTAAGTAGGTATTTGATAAAACCGTGAATAAAACTGCATTGAAATACAAATCAGATGTTTATAATTTGCACTAGGTAAGTAAGTAACAAAATATAACATAAATCTGAAGGGAAAAGATGACACTCTAGCGCAGACTCTGCAGCAGGAGAGTGGCGTTAATTTTAATTAAGTGAGTAGGTACATTTTAGTGTTATTATTTCATTAATTTTGTCCCACGCGAAAAACGGTCAAAATCGGTTTCAGTGAAATTATTCTAATCACTTTTAGGTCTTTCAGAGCCAACGAAGTAAGGCTGTGTCGGTCTAAGAGCGATTTCACTTCGATACTTTATTAATTTCGTGAAAAGATATAAAAATGCGTCTCCTCGATGCGAATGTCGCACTGTCTAGCTAGAGTCTAGAGCACTGTCTTTCAATTAAATTATGCAACGCGAAAGTTTAAAAAACTTACCAACCAAATTGTTGAAGTCGGTTATAATTCCTAAATCAGTCAAATGTTGTCGCACTACCATTGGTGGTGCCTACCAGGGTTATTGCGAATACATTTACAGCATCCTGTATCCCGTAAAATCCTGAATCAGCGAATTCAGTGACGACCTTAGTAGGCAGTGCCTACCTGTAAGATGTAATGGTCCTACTGAGAAATGTAGAGTTACATTCTCAGTCCCTTAGTTCTTTTTAAACAAAATATTGCACCTAACTATATTTTTTCTTATTTTNACATTCTCAATTGAACGCGGTTATCCAGCACCCTGACAGCTTCAGCAATCCGGTGTTATTTCAGACTTTTCCGTCGCTTTTTAATTGATTTATTTAAAATCTTTATTTCACACAAAAACACAGTACAATAGGCGAGCTTTATGCCGTGTGGCATTCTCTACCATCTTTACTAAGTTTTGTAATATACTCAACATCAAATAAACCGCACCTTCCGCGACGCGAACTTTAACGATTTTCTTCTGACACAGTCATGGTACCCCAACAATATTGGTGTTATTTGAAAGCCCAATAAATATCCTTAAAGAAAAACACATTTCATTTCTTAATAAATGATTAACATNATTAACATATACCATAAATGTGACTTGAAAAAATACCTTACTTTGGGCCCACCTATGGGATCAATTAGACCAATTTTTATGGTTATAAAACCAAATAATGATTTCACGTGTCCTCTTTAACAGATGGATAGCAATTAAACCCAACTTAACAGTTTTATAGCCATAAAAGTTGGCTCTAGCGTAACTACCTATTTTTTGAAGAAGTGACTCTGGATCCTTCTAAAGACACATTTTTGGGGTAAAAACCTTTCCTTTAATGAAATGAAGGTTAGAACTAGACTTTTAAATGGTATCAATATTGGTGGGAAGTGGGGATGCATACGTTTGAAAATGCTTGTCGCGGGAGGTGCGATTTATTTGACGTCGAGTGTATTTTCCAAATTACATCTGATAGGTACTCACCTTAAATACGTTAATTACCAATTTGAGAACGGTTGAGTCAGTTGACCGACAAGTAAACACTGAAGTACATAGGTACTTTTAAGTAACAAAAAATAATGCATGTTTAAATACAAATACAACATTACCTTATTTTAAAATGTTCTAGAAGTAAGAACCTAAGTTTTGATGTTGTTACCGCCGATATTATTCAAGGTTGGTTATTTTTTTACATAATTCCCAGGTAGGTAAATAGAATTGCTATTTATTTAACATCAAACCTATTTATTTGTCGTTTTTATCAAATGCAATTATAAGCAACCCGTAGCAATAGCGTTTCAAATCAAGTTAATTACTTTATTTATATTATTTCAGGAAATTATAAGCCGCTGAACGGCAGACTAAAATGATTCTATCGGCTCAGGTAAGATATTTTAGCACCATAATTTAATTAATATCAATATTCTTAGTTTTTCAGAGCTTAATCAAGCTTAATTAATGAATAAACCGTTAAATTATGAATTATAATTGATCACTTGCTGCAATAAGAAAATTTACCTTTGCACAAAAACTGTTGCATCTTTTTTATCCTACATTTTTATACCCTTTTGTGCGATTATGTTTGATGATGATTAACTTTTAAGTTGATACACAGAATAATCATCCTAATTACTAAAAAAATCAGTTGAGCACTTAAGTTTTTTGCGTTGAACTAAAAACTGCGTAATGGAAAATTTGTGTGCCACTTCTCGCTTCCCATTTCCAGGACTGTCAGTGTCCACTAGTGGACGAGGGTATATCCCTGGTCAACTCTCCGATATGCAGCGGCACTTTCGCCTTCATGATGCTTCTGGAAGCATTCCTTAAGGGGCGCTGTGACATCGCTTCGCCTTGCAGCAGAATCCAGTCGCAGGAGAAACTGCGATCGGAGTACGACTTTATTGTGGTGGGAGGGGGATCAGCTGGGGCTATCGTGGCAGGCAGGCTCAGCGAGAACGACAAGTTTAAGGTAATCTTTTTAGATCTAGAATCTTGTCCCTGCTATGCTTGTATAGGCGCTGCTCTAAAGTTTAGTAACCTTCGCAAGTAAGTTATATTCAGTGGTTAAGTTTGATAGAAATCGAAAAATGTCCGATTGGATAGCGCTGGATAAAAATACGAGTACATACAATTTTAAGGGTACTTAGTCGTTTATTTCAACATACCAATTCCCCAATCATCAGCTTTAGTCCAGCTAGGCTGTCGAACTCGACTTTTAAGCAGGGTAGCGGTTTTTCAAACATACGAAGAGGGCAACAAGCTGGTGCAAATGACACACTGTTTTACCTTTTTAGGTGCTACTAATAGAAGCAGGCGATCAGGAACCTATAGGCGCTCGCCCGCCGTCCTTCTACAGAACGTTCTGGTACAACGAGAATGTAGACTGGAGGTATCGGACAGTGCCCGACAATTACTGCCTCGACCAAGACGGGAAAGGATGCATGTGGCCGAGGGGAAAAGTTCTTGGTAAGTGCGAGAAAATTAGAAGATGTGTGTAGTGTAAATTAGATGATCGTGCTCTTGCTGAAATTTCTGCATATCTAGGTACTGTCAAAATTTTGGTCAGTCAAGCTTGGGCGTTCCAGCTCCACGTCTAATCTAAGCTTATGCATGGTACCTATTGCAGATGTCGCGCTTAACTGAGTACCTAAGTTTCTTCTTCACTAGAGAGGTAACATGTGACGTGATAGAGCTGTCATGCATGATACCATGTCTTATTGTGCATGAGAGTCTCTGAGGTCTCGCTTGCTAATTCGTTGATGTACTAAAAATACCCCCCTACACCGCATCACTATTGCAGGACTAGTTAAGGTTCGGCCAAACAAACGCGATCAGCCGGCGTGCAGCGATGGCGATCAATGCATTTAGGTCTGGTCGCCATCGCTGCACGCCGGCTGATCGCGGTGTGATCGCGTTGGTTTGTCCGAACCCTTATGCGCTATACTTCAACTTGTAACTACGAGATGCCGCTCAATATAAAAATGCCTTGAAAACAAAGTACTTTAGAATTATTTCTAAAAAAATTGCATTCTTCTTAGATGACCATGCTTCTTTTCAAAATACCGACCATTTTAGGTGGGTCCAGCGTCCTCAACGGCATGATGTACCACCGAGGCCACGCAGCCGACTACGAGGACTGGGTCGCGGCGGGGGCCGAGGGCTGGTCGTGGGAGGAGAACAAGCCCTACTTCGACATGACGGAGGGCAACAAGCAGATCGGCTCGCTAGTGAGCGGGGAATACCACTCGGGGTCTGGCCCGTTGCCGGTGCAGCAGGTAAGAACTACTTAATCTTACTTACTTCTCATGATTACTGTGCGATGCAGATTAATTTGAAGTTACTTACTGAAATAAAATTGTTCTAATTTTATCAAACCAAATAAAGGTTTAACTAATATGATTTCAAAATTATTAGACTTGTGTGAATAAGTGAAATTCGAACGTTTTCAGTTCAGATACCAGCCGCTAGCCGCGCACGTTCTGCTGCAAGCCATCAACGAGAGCGGGCTGCCCATCATCACCGACATGAACGATCCATCCACCCCCGATGGCTTCAACATCGCGCAGACCTTCAATGAGTAAGTGGTAACACCATAACAGTGACAGACCTTCAATGAATAAGTGGTACACTATAAGACAGTGTGAATAAAATATAGTTTGCAGCATATTATCTTGTAAACTTATCGCGTTGTAGGTAACAATTTCTAGAAGCGCAACGCACGTCGCGTTTGTCACGGTATGGCGCTACTGCAGCGCTTCCTCGCGCCTCCAATTTTGAATGCGTCCTTAACCACTACTTTTAGATAGATTAGGTGCTATAACAGTACCAAAGCACATTAGTAGGTACTATTAATTAACAAAAACTAGGTACTTCATTCAATTGTTGTTTGAATTTATTTTTATAAAGTTTCTACTATCTTTATAGAGACGGCCAAAGGTACACAACAGCGAGAGCTTACCTGAAGCCTCATTCGGAGAGGCCCAATCTGGACGTGAGGCTGAAATCCCATGTGTCTAGGGTCCTATTCGAAGGCACTCAGGCCACTGGAGTGGAGTTCTTAGATGAAAATGGCACGACACATACCGTGAAGGCGACTAAAGAGGTAAGTGACTAAGGATATAGCCAGGTATTTCCAAGATAGAAGACAGCATAGAGTCTTCTTTACCCTAGGCTTTCAGAGAGCTTAATATTCAACGTCTTTCTAGGTCATATTAAGTGCAGGTGCACTAAACAGTCCCCATATCCTGATGCTGTCCGGTATCGGGCCGCGTGAGATTCTAGAACCTTTGGGCATCCCAGTGATCGCTGACCTGCCAGTCGGACAAACGCTTAAGAACCATTATGGAATCACATTGTACTTCTACCTGACTAAGCTGAACGATACTGAAGTGCTTGATTGGAGTGTGCTCACTGAGTATCTATTAGACAGGCAAGGACCGATGACTGGTACTGGTGTAACTCAGGTAAGTTGTATTTGATATGAATGAAATCAAGAGTAGAGTCCAAGAAAAGTACGAAAGAGAGCGTAAAATAACGAACTTTAGAGTGTGATTTCGCGTGTCCTAGCCTGGCTAGGCCAGAAAATGCATGGCTTGACATTTATGGAGTAAGTAATCTGACGCTGATATTCGACTAGTAAATATTATAAAGATATTATAGGCCTAAAATATAGACCAGTTAGTTAGGTAATTTCTCGTAAAAAAATGTAATAGAGCGTCTGATGTTTTTCAATTTCGTTAATTTTCCTAAAGAAAAAGTGACTGAATAATATAATCGTCGGAAAACGTAGTTCTACAGAATTATCAATTTATACTTATCACTCAAGATGACTTATGTGTAAAGACTTTATTTTTAGCTCACTGGTCTACTTTACTCGAGTCTTGCGGACCAGTCGCGGAAACAACCCGACATTCAGTTCTTCTTCAACGGATTCTACGCGGAATGCTCGAGAAATGGCGTCATCAACGAATACGCTGAGCGCAGTAACGATGGGAAGAATGTTTCGTAAGTACCTAAGGAAATTAACGAATTAAATTACATACAATTAGATAAAAAATAATTATTATGAAGTAAAAAATTGAACTGTACCTAAGTCGTGAAATTAAAGGTTTGCTAGCAATAACTTCCAAATATTTAATGAACAAACAAGGAAAGAAAACAAATATCGTGAATCTTATGATTAGACAGCGCAATAAGTAGCTAGTCTAACACACGCGGAAGACCTGGAAATAGCCCCACGTTGGGCGCCAACTTTAGCAAACTCGCACTACGCCACAGCAAACAATGAGGGTTTTCGCGAATGAAAGATCCGCTAGATGGCGGGACGTGGATGTGGGGTCTGACTGCTGCGTGATTGGTGGATTTTGACATATCTGTCAATGTCGTGTCAAAAATAACCAATCATGCAGCATTTGGACCTCGCGTCTACGTATTGCCATCTGGCGGATTTTTCATTCGCGAAAACCCTCATTTATACAAAAAGTAACTTTAAATCACATGAACTTTAACTGATAAGGGCATAATGAAAACTTATCCATCNAAAGTTCCCTTCAAAATATACAGATATCAGAGTGTGATGATTGCAGTTCTAGTGATAGTGAATACAATTTTGATTTAGACAATTATTTAACCTTTAGCAAAAAAATAAGAACATGGGCTATTGAAAATCGTATTCCTCATTCCGCTTTGAATAAATTGTCAAGCATAATAAACGAATTTAAACCGGGAACACTACCGTCTGATGCTTTAGGTATTCATACTTGACTATTAGTACCTGGGCTAGGCGATTTAACAGACATTAATAATTTTTATTGCGGATCTCTAAAATTTCAGTATTTGAAAGAATATTGTGTATCTTTAACACAATTGACCTGAACTAGGTACATCTTAAAGCTGTACATAAGTTCACATTAGAATAAATTTATAGACATTAGCGCTGTAGTGGTACAAATGTGGAACTTAATATAGATAACAGCATTCTAACAGAACACATGTGAACCTAATATACGCTCACCGCATTAAATTGGAGTTATAACAGTTCTCATAGTGCAGAAGAGAGCAGTGCGGGCCATTTATAACCTTGGACCCCGATTTTCCTTGAGAGAATTCTTTAAGGAGATTAATATACTGACAGTAGCTTCACAGTTCATTTATGAAAACCTTTTATATGTTCGCAAAAATATAGAGCAATTTACTAGAAAGAGTGATTTACACAAGTTCAATACAAGAAACAAAAATAAACTTGCCGTTCCAAATTTCAGACTGCACAAGATTGGTAATTCATTTATGGGGAAATGTATTAAACTTTTCAATAAATTACCACAAACTGTTGTAGAATTGCCCATTCATAAATTTAAAGCACATATCAAAAGCACCTTAATGAAAAAGGGCTACTATAAAGTTGATGATTAAGTATATAAAAGATAAAAATGTTTGGAATGTTTAACTACCTAGCTCGCATCAATACTTATGACTATAATTTGTATATTTTAAAGACTGTAAAACCTTGAAAAGGAGGCTGACAATAGTGACTGAGTTTCTTGCGCTGCTTCTTCTCAGCACTGGCCCATTTATTGTCCCGAAGCAGTGGTAGGGTTAATATTGGGACGTGTAAAAGCGCTTTTTTAAAGCCTATTTGCAAAAATAAATGAATTTTATGAATTTTTATTTTAAATTTAATTTTCAATTTGCAGTCTTCTTAGATGACCCGTCACCCTTCCCCCTTTTCAAAACACCAGGCTAACTTTCAGGCGGGTCCAGCGTGCTCAACGGCATGATGTACCACCGAGGGCACGCAGCCGACTACGAGGACTGGGTCGCGGCGGGGGCCGAGGGCTGGTCGTGGGAGGAGAACAAGCCCTACTTCGACATGACGGAGGGCAACAAGCAGATCGGCTCGCTAGTGAGCGGGCAATACCACTCGGGGTCTGGCCCGTTGCCGGTGCAGCAGGTAGGATTTTTTTAGTTTACCTTACCTACATTGCATCGGGTACCTTATTAAAGTCGATGATTTGGCCAGTATTTTACCACTCTGTGCTAGCAATCAAAAATAACGTCTTTTAAAAAGAACTTTGCTCTTTTTGCTGGAGCAATTTCCACTCATCCCTGGGCTCGCCAGTTTCTTGATCTTCGTGTCATGGATAGAACTTACCTGTGTAGCCCCGAACTTTTCACATTATCTAATATTATAAATGCGAAAGTAACTCTGTCTATCTGTCTGTCTGTCTTGCTTTCACGCCTAAACCACCGAACCGATTTTTATGAAATTCGGCATAAAGATAGTTTGAGTCTCGGGAAAGGACATAAGATGAGTTTTTATCCCGGTTTTTGAAATAGGGACGCGCGCGATAAAGTTTTTCTATGACACAAAATTCCACGCGTGCAAACCCGCGGGCGGAAAGCTAGTCATTTCATAAAAAAAACTGTTTAGATTTTATTTTGCACTATAGCTCCATACACCTACAAATTGCAAAATTATTAAATCTTCGGGCAATTCGAACCTTTCCAGTTCAGATACCAGCCGCTAGCCGCGCACGTTCTGCTGCAAGCCATCAACGAGAGCGGGCTGCCCATCATCACCGACATGAACGATCCATCCACCCCCGATGGCTTCAACATCGCGCAGACCTTCAATGAGTAAGTGGTAAATCCAATTTTGAATGCGTCCTTAACCACTACTTTTAGATAGATTAGGTGCTATAACAGTACCAAAGCACATTAGTAGGTACTATTAATTAACAAAAAACTAGGTACTTCATTCAATTGTTGTTTGAATTTATTTTTATAAAATTTCTCATCTTTATAGAGACGGCCAAAGGTACTCAACAGCGAGAGCTTACCTGAAACCTCATTCGGAGAGGCCCAATCTGGACGTGAGGCTGAAATCCCACGTGTCCAGGGTCCTATTCGAAGGCACCCAGGCCACTGGAGTTGAGTTTATAGATGAAAATGGTACAACTCATACCGTGAAGGCGACTAAAGAGGTAAGTGACTAAGGATATAGGTATCTTATAGCCAGATATTTCCAATATTGTAAAACAGCTGTTGAGTTTCTAAATAAATAAATAAATAAATAAGATAGAAGACAGCATAGAGTCTTCTTTACCCTAGGCTTTCAGAGAGCTTAATATTCAACGTCTTTTTAGGTCATATTAAGTGCAGGTGCACTAAACAGTCCCCATATCCTGATGCTGTCCGGTATCGGGCCGCGTGAGATTCTAGAACCTTTGGGCATCCCAGTGATCGCTGACTTACCAGTCGGGCAAACGCTTAAGAATCACTATGGAATCACATTATACTTCTATCTGACTAAGCTGAACGATACCGAGGTGCTTGACTGGAGTGTGCTCACTGAGTATCTATTAAACAGGCAAGGACCAATGACGGGTACGGGTGTAACTCAGGTAAGTTTTAATATTATTGTATTTGATATGAATGAAATCAAGAGTAGAGTCCAAGAAAAGTACGAAAGTGAGCGTAAAATAACGAACTTTAGAATGTGATTTCGCACATTTTTATGGTGTCCTAGCCAGAAAATGCATGGCTTGACATTTATGGAGTAATCTGACGATGATATTCGAGTAGTAAATATTATAAAGATATTATAGGCCTAAAATATAGACCAGTTAGGTAATTTCTCGTAAAAAAAATTGTAATAGAGCGTCTGATGTTTTTCAATTTCGTTAATTTTCCTAAAGAAAAAGTGACTGAATATAATCGTCGGAAAACGTAGTTTTACAGAATTATCAATTTATACTTATATTACATCTCAAGATGACTTATGTGTAAAGACTTTATTTTTAGCTCACTGGTCTACTTTACTCGAGTCTTGCGGACCAGTCGCGGAAACAACCCGACATTCAGTTCTTCTTCAACGGATTCTACGCGGAATGCTCGAGAAATGGCGTCATCAACGAATACGCTGAGCGCAGTAACGATGGGAAGAACGTTTCGTAAGTGAATACCTAACGAAATTAACGAATTAAATTACATACTTGACTTATGGTCCTATGTCTCCTAGATGGGGCAGAGGGCGTCCACAACAGTCCTCCATCTCGTTCGGTCTTGAGCTTCTCGCTTGATCTCGCTCCAGGTCTTGCCGATCTTCTTCGCCTCGTCCGCTACAGTGCGCCGCCAAGTTTGCCGCCAATTAAATTACATACAATTAGATAAAAAATAATTATTATGAAGTAAAAAATTAAATCGTACCTAAGTCGTGAAATTAAAGGTTTGCTAGCAATAACTTCCAAATATTTAATGAACAAAAAAGGAAAGAAAACAAATATCGTGAATCTTATGATTAGACAGCACAATAAGTAGCTACTCTAACACACGCGGAAGAACTTGAAATAGCCCCACGTTGGGCGCCAACTTTAGCAAACTCGCACTACGCCACAGCAAACAATGAGGGTTTTCGCGAATGAAAGATCCGCTAGATGGCGGGACGTGGATGTGGGGTCTGACTGCTGCGTGATTGGTGGATTTTGACATAATCTGTCAATGTCGTGTCAAAAATAACCAATCATGCAGCATTTGGACCTCGCGTCTACGTATTGCCATCTGGCGGATTTTTCATTCGCGAAAACCCTCATTTATACAAAAAGTAACTTTAAATCACATGAACTTTAACTGATAAGGGCATAATGAAAACTTATCCATTATGCACATGACTCAATTTTAAAAGGTTTTCCTTTCAGTGCAAACGCAGCGATCCTCCTCCCCCGGAGCGTGGGCCGCATGACCATCAACTCCACGGACCCGCTGACGCCGCCGCTGTTCTACCCCGGGTACTTCTCGCATCCCGACGACCTCGTCATGATCAGGGACGGCGCTAGGTACTTGCAGAAGATCTTTGAGAGCGATGTAAGTTTCTCATTAACATCAATAATTAAGTAATTGTCGATGCGATGAGTCTGAATATTTTATTTTTGGATTTACAACATTTTCGAATGTTATGTGTTTGCACAGATTATACAGTGTGTCTGGTCACCGGTGTCCGACCCGTTAGGGTGCAATAATATGATCAATTTTATCGAGAAATCCACTGATATAAAACATTTTATCCCTACTTTAAAAATATTGCAGATTGAAATATGCTAAATAAGCTTGTGTTACGAGTGGGCTCACCACAATAGTCGAGCGGCGCGGCGGTGGGATTCGAACTCGCGATCGTCGGATATCGAGTGGGCCAGTCCGACCCATTCACCGTTCGGCTATCGTGGCTATGATTGTTTCACTACTTATTGGAGATTATAAAGGTTTTTGAAACCTAACAGCCAATCGTTTAAAGATAAATACCAAGGAAAAAGTTGTAGCCAATTCATTTCAGAACGAGAATCAATTATTTTTGAGTCGTAGTTTGTTTTACACTGTACATACTGTAATATTTATGAATACCTGTACAAATCTTGTTTTTTCAGACCCTAAAGAACAAGTACGGTATAAAACTGGACAACAAGACGACCGAGCGGTGCTCCGGCCTGGCCGAGTGGTCGGACGACTGGATAGAGTGCATGGCGCGCGTCAACACCGACCCTCAGAACCATCAGATCGCGACCGCTGCGATGGGGCTCGTTATTGACCCCACGCTTAAGGTCTACAACGTTAGTGGTGAGTAGGTTTTAGGCTGATTAAGTGTTAGGGGAAGGGACGAAATACATGTCATGTGGAAACCCTGTCTGGCCCAAATAATCAATGAAGTTTGGGTCTTTGTAAGCTGTTATTCTTTACCAACGTAACTGATAGCTGACTTTGCAAACGTGGGACGGCTTGGACGCGACGCGACTCACCTGTGAGCCTGGGAACAATAAAATTTCTCGGATCTGTGGATAAGATACGACAATCCCGTTAGGTACGCATCATGACCTTTAAGATTTAAATGAGACAATTTTGAGCCGATCCTGAGTGTTCGATAGGAATAACTTTGTCAGAAGTGCCGGTGAAATCGTATCGCACTTAGGTAGCGAATTTCATGGTCTAGAAGAGTTAATGATCTCTTGAAACGATCGATGAATTTTTGTACCGAAACATAGCGCTGTATCTTTTGAAATCCTCATCCTCATTTACTCTACATCGTCAGGTCTTCGAGTGATAGACGCGTCGTCAGTCCCCACGTTGCCGACCGGCAACCCACAGGCCGCTATCATGCTCGTCGCCGAGAGGGGCGCAGCCTTCATCAAGGACCAGTGGGAATAATCGGCATTCTAAGACATCGCATCATTCTTTCGGACCGAAATTTTTGAGATTTGTAAATACAATTGTTTAAAAATTATAAGTTACCAACAATTAATTTGCTTTTTTTTCTTAAACATACCCTAGATGTAATACATTTCTTTAGCTTGCGTGAACATTCGAACTTCAAAATAAATTAACGAAATAGACCGAATGAGGGCTATCGTTTTAGCGCTCACCAGTTAGCGCCACTGTAGAGTAAGGTCCTGTCACTTGCTAGTAGCGAAGACAGTGGCGCCAACCACTCATCAAGATGGCGCCACTGTAGAGTAAGGTCCTGTCAATCGCCAGGGGTGCCAACTGTTAAGTATAAAAACGATAGCCCTCATTGACGTGTCAACATTGTGAGGCGGGTCGCTACATTCCCCCCTACAATAACATTTGCGACGTGCTATTTTGGACCAACAAAATGAGAACATACCTACCTATACCTACTACCGGCAAGCTCCTTTGGCATCCAGAAACCGCTCGCTCGCTGGTCGTTCACTGGGCCTCGACCAATGTCGTCTCACCCGGTGGGCTAGTAGCGCGCTGAGGGCGGAACAGTGGTGTCAAAGTCGAGCTGAGGGTATGCCCGGAATATCTGGCCAGAAGGTTGGAAAAATCAGGATAGATAGCGCGGGGCGATGGTCAAGCTTAGGTACAGTGTTGAACCGGCGCGGGACGGTGGTCAAGCTCACAGCGTTGGACCGGCGCAGGACGGTGGTCAGGCTCACAGCATTGGACTGGCGCGGGGTGGCAGGCAAGCTCACAGCACTGGACGAGGTAGACGTGTATAATATAGTACAAAAATAAAGTATTTGGTAGATGAGTGTACTCGATGGAGGTACATTGCTTTTTCATTGATGATAATGAATCCCCTACATTCATATGGAGTTCTAGGATTAAAGTAAGTTGATCAAAACTCAATTATTTTAAAATTATTTTCTCAGTAGGTATCGTAGTAGGCAAGTCGCTCAGATTGCTTGCATCTCCCGTGCAGTCGTAAGCGTATCTCGGGCCTGATTTCCCGTAGCAGTGCCGCCATGATTGTGAATGGCATGCGTTTGCCGGGGAGGTGTAAACGATCGCTATAAGTCCACCGGATTGTTTGTATTCGGGTAGGTACTGGAGGGAGATAGCCCATGATTGTGTTGTATTTGGGTACTGGATTAAAGTAGCCCATGATGTGTTGTATTCGGGTACCGGATGGAGGTAGCCCATGTTTGTGATATGGTGTAAGAAACAATCGGATGGAGATGAAGAGTATTATATTGTGTACTGCTTTGCTGACCTTTTAGTTATTATGATGCTGTAGTTTATTGAGTTTTGATGGACCTTAATCTCTATTGTGTTTTGATAATGTATCAAGCGATCGCAAGGTAGATAGTAGCGTACGTGCCTCGCTGTATCGCTGCCGCCTTTCCGAATAGTCATCCGTTAAAATCTAACTGATCGTTGATTATTTCGTACTAGCTTTCCGCCCGCGTGGAATTTTGTCTGTCACAGAAATACTTTATCGCGCGCGTCCCTGTTTCAAAAACCGGGATAAAAACTATCCTATGTTCTTTCCCGGGACTCAAACTATCTCTATGCCAAATTTCATCAAAATCGGTTCCGAGGTTTAAGCGGGAAAGCGTAACAGACAGACAGACAGACAGACAGAGTTGCTTTCGCATTTATAATATTAGTTGGGATTAGTTGGGATTAAATTCTTATTGATTGTGGGAATAGATGTCTATACTCCAAAATGAGACTAATATTTCGAGTTTTCCCGCCATGTCTGACCCATTTTATAATGAGTCAACCCATCTACTTTCGTTTCAAATTGTGAAAATCTATGATGGTGAATTGGTGACCGTTATGTTTACAAATGTGTATTGAGTATTCACATGATCGTGTTAGGACGACCCCTGAATGCCCAGTACCTATTGAGATTGTGATGTGAGGGAAACGAGTTGGATGACTAAGTTCCATCTAAGTAAGTAGATAATACAAGCACAGGTTTCTCAATCGTTTGGTCGGAGATTGCAGTAGCGGCGTAAGGGCGTCCGCCCCGGGTGCAAGCATCAGGGGGTGACACAAGTCGCACAGATTAGTACTCACTGACTCATCTGCATGGCAAGTCTGCGGTCAATGTCATGATACGGGGGGTGCGATTGTATTTTAATCTTCGAATCGGTAAGTAACCCCAAAATCCTGGGGGTACCAGGGGGTGCCTTAGGAGTTATGACGGGGGGATGGTCGCCCCGGGTGCCAACCCATGCTACGCCGCCACTGGGAGATTGTACCAGAATATCGTAGCCGTAGCCTATTATAAACCGGTGTCTGCTCTGAGTAGTCCGTGGGAATTCGGTAGTGCGATAGTTCTGGGTGGTGCAGAAGGATCTGACAGTGTGTAGCTAAGATCATAAAGTCATTGGTTGATTGACTTATGCCCGTTTTCACCATCAATCCCTAATTTTTAAGTGATCCCTATGGTAACACATAACAGGCATTTTGTATTGATAGATAGGGCCTAGGGGTCATTTAGAAAATAGGGATTGATGGTGAAAACGGGCATTAGACTCCCGAGGTAGGTAGCCTGATTTAGTACCTACAATTTTATTCACCTACAAGTTTTGTCTCTTTCTATCGCGTGCCTCTGAACTCTTCTTACGCTGTTAGGGTTGCTGTCTAGTGAAAAAATAATTAATATACTTATTTGTAATGACGTACGTATGTAGGTAAGTATGCATACATTATGGAAAACCTTGGGTAGGCCTTTGTTCAGCAGTGGACGTCATTTGGCTGAAACGAACGAACGCATTCTGAGCAGTAGTCATGGTAGGTTAGGTTCCTATACTATCCTAAGAATTATTGATTACCTACATGGCCAACATACCTTTCAGCATCTTTGGGAAGCGAAAAAAAAAGATAAATCCGGTAAATTTCTTTTCGAATTTAAACACCCGAACGCCGCACAATATTTCTTTCTCTTTATGTCCATTTTTAAATAATACTTCGATCATAGAATTATAATCATACTACAACGCACGCCAGCGACCTGACGGGCGCGCGCGTGACACTCGACTGATATAATATAATACCCGCCGGCGGGGCGCTTCGCTGTAGGTAATTATCGGATGTACCGCGCTGAGTGGTCACGTTAAAGTGTACATATCAAAATAGATGAAACTAGACCTATTTTTATCGACAAAAAAGAGGTCAAAAAATTTTTGAGATTTTATTTTTTATTTTTTATAGACTTTTTTTTCTTTCAATTACTTATTGTAAAGAAAACATAATAACTTTTAAACTAAGCGGTATATTTTATCTTGAAAACAGTAACAATGCTAAATAACAGGCAATACTAAAAAAATACATAAAATACACACAAAAAAGGCCAACAAATAATAAAAAAATATACTTTTTGAAAAAATCCGCTTATAAATTCGTGTTTTTTTGGTTATTTGATAAATTTCTCCAAAAAATGCCCCTATAACTTATAGTTTGTATTATTCTCTATCATATTACCTTCGTAAAACGAAAAATTGCATGTCTCTATCCCTATCACAACGTTTGCAATGATCGTTTGAACTAAGCCTCTCCGGGCGCGCCATTCAACGCTTCGTTAACAACAAAACTGAAAATGGCTCTAGATTTGTAATTTTGATAAAGACAAGTTAGATTTCAATTAAAAACAAAAGATTTCGAGGTAAATTAAACATTTTAGTTAAAATTAAAATTGTCTCTACCAGTAGCGGAGAATAATGTTGTGGCAGGCCTTTGTTCAAACGATCATAGCAAATGTTGTGATAGGGATAGAGACATGCGATTTTTGGTTTTACTAAGATAATACGATGGAAAATAATACAAAGTAATAAAAACCACCGGTTATAGGGGCATTTTTTTGAGAAATTTATAAAATAACCAAAAAAACACGAATTTTTAAGCAGATTTTTTTCAAAAAGTATCATTTTTTCTTATTTGTTGGCATTTTTTGTGTATTCTATGTATTTTTTTAGTATCGCCTGTTATTTAGCATTATTATTGTTTTTATTTTATCAGGATATACCGCTTAGTTTAAAAGTTATTACGTTTTCTTTACAATAAGTAATTTGAAGAAAAAAAAATCTATAAAAAATTAAAAAAAAACTCAAAAATTTTTTGACCTCTTTTTTGTCGATAAAAATAGGTCTAGTTTCATCTATTTTCATATGTACACTTTAACGTGACTCACATTGTAGGTATATGAGGTTCGAATTCCTGACGAGCCGACATTAAATATATACAATTTGTTTAAAACTGCCACAATTACGATTTGTTATGGTGCCTTGCTTTTCTCTAGAATTTTCTTGCCCTGTCTCGCCAGAAGGATATCTTAGACTTGTCATGCTCACTAAATTGTCTCTATAATATAGTCGAGTGAAGCGATAGCTGGTTCACACGTCGTCTGTGAACAGGTGCTGCCTTCGGGGACTGGTCAAGGAAAGATATACCTGTCATAAATATGTATCAAAACGCAACAATTAACCTAGAAACGGCACTAAAGAAATATAGGTATTCAAAACTGCCACGCGGTCTCGTGCTAAATGGGAGTCTTAAAGGCCACCATATCAACGGCAACGCGTGGTATGTAACTTGCTTCTGAATGTACTGTAACTTCCTACTTTTTTATATTTTTAAACCGGCAGACAGTGGTGAGTGAGTTTGTTGCGGCTCTTCTTTTTAGCACTTGCCAAATCTTTGTCTCGAAGCGCTGCTGGTAGGGCAAAAGACAATATGTAAAAGCTCCAAGAGCATTTGACGATTTGTAGGTAGGCTTAGATTTTATTAATCTAAGTAGGTAGGTAAGTATTTACTAATTTAATTAATGTAAACAAATAAGGATAATTAAGATTAATTTTGATTACCTTATCTTAAAATTTTCTAGAAGTAGGTACGAACCTAAGTTTTGATGTTACCGCAGATATTACGCAATTGATTATTATACCTACATATTTTTACATTACCTCCCAGGTAAATAAATTGCTTGTTTATTGCAGTTTTTATCAAATGCAATTTATCACAATAGTTCTGATAAAT